TCAATATAATAAGTCTAAAAAAAAATTAAAAATAAAAAAAGTGAAATGAGGTGAACTGTTCTTTAAAGAGCAAGTTCTCTCCAAACTACTTAGTTTTTCAGACAACTGTGTATGAATATGAGATCCAGCAATACTATGTTTATTGTTGTTTACTCACTAAGTTGCGTCTGTCTCGTTGTCACCCCATGGACTGTAGCCTGCCAGACTCCTCTGTCTATGGGCTTTCTCAGGCAAGAATACTGGAGTAGGTTGCCTTTTCTTTCTCCAAAGCTTTATTTATTTGGCCACACTGGGTCTTAGCTGTGGTGCATGGGAACTTTAGCTGCAGCATGTGAACTCTTAATTGCAGCACTTGGAATCTAGTTTCCCAACCAGAGGTCAAACCCTGACCTCCTGCATTGGGAGCTTGGAGTCTTAGCCACTGGACCACCAAGCAAGTCCCTGCAATACAACAGTCTTCGTGAATCTGGNTGAACAGTTTTATGAAGACCTACATGGAGAAGGCAATGTCACCCCACTCTAGTACTCTTGCCTGGAAAATCCCATGGATGGAGGAGCCTGGTAGGCTGCAGTCCATGGAGTCGCTAGGAGTCGGACATGACTGAGTGACTTCACTTTCACTTTTCACTTTCATGCATTGGAGAAGGAAACGGCAACCCACTCCAGTGTTCTTGCCTGGAGAATCCCAGGGATGGGGGACCTGGTGGGCTGCCATCTATGGGGTTGCACAGAGTCGGACACGACTGAAGAGACTTAGCAGCAGCAGCAGCAGCAGCAGCCAGGACTTTCCTGGGTAATATGACCAGTGACGTTTTCTTCTTTTTGGCTGAAGTCACCTGTCAGCCCAACCCAACCACAAAGCTGAGAACCCATCATGAATTTATTTAGAAGGGATATTTAAAATTACTTTCAACTTATTATTTTTCTTCTGATTATGAAATCAATGCAGACATTGTTCTAAAGGGTGAGTTTTCGAAATACTAACTGGATATAAGGTGACTGATACATTGGGGAACTGCAGCTGGCCTCAGGCCTCCTGTGGCTTCTGCAACAAGTGGCCACCCAGCTGCTTGGGGTGACCACTGCTTCTCAGAGGTTTTGCCTGAATTCTTTTCCTCCAGGCAGCTGGCGGTCACCATTTTGATTGTAAACTTAAACTCTCACATAAATTTTGTGTGCTTTATTTACCATAGCAATGGACACATGTATTAGAAAGTCCAATTACTTTTTTTTTTTGCCACTGAAAACAGTTGTTTTACAATGTGATTTTGTTAACTTCATTGAATAATAACAGAATAGATCCTATGGCCTAATCGCAAAAATTTCAGAAACTACATACAAGGATAAAGAAAATTTACATTCACATTTATTCCAAGTCATAATAAACAGTATTGTCGGAATTACTACATTTTCCCCAGTTTTTGTCTCTGTATGAATATAAATGGATATATAATAGTTGTAGGACAAGGATGTAATTATACTGTAAATTAAAATCTCTAGATTGTAGAGTGAAAATATTATTTTAAAAAATTGCACAATATCCCATCTTTGTGAGCGCATTTTTCTACACCTCTAACTAATTTCATATGACAGAGTCTTAGACGTAGAATTATTTTTAATTATAGGGTTTAACATTGGAAAAGTTCTAGAAAACTATCTCCAAATAGTTTTCAGAAAAGTTTTAAAATTTACATTTCTACTGGTAGTATATGAGTTTGCCCATTTCCTCTCACTCTTGACAGCACTATTATATGTTTTATTCTTTTCCAACTTGATAGGTGAAAACTGTTATCCAATTTCTAATTTAGTAGATATTCCTTAGATTTCTAGTGAGGTTGAGAACTGTTTTAATGTTTGTTTAAAGTAAAGTATCCATCGAATGCTATTTCTTATCCCATTCATCTATTATCATTTCTAGAGGTTTCCATATTGTTTTAGAAATGCTCTCCGCATATACCTTAGTCTATTCCTGTATTTTTTCCTATTACTTTTTAAACTATTTATTTCTTTATTTATTTGGCTGTGTTGGGTCTTAGTCGCAGCATGCAGGATCTTTAGTTGTGGCATCTGGGAGCTAGTTCCCTGACCACTGAGAGAACCCAGCGCCACAGGATTGAGAGCACAGAGTCTTAACAAATCCCTGGACTGCCAGAGAAGTCTCCCAATTATTTTCAGAAACATCCTTTCAATAGTTTAATAGTTTTTATTTATGATTCTTTTGTTGCTTTAATGCTTAGAAAGGCATTTCCTACTTAGAAGATTAGTTACATATTGACATGTAATTCCTCCGTCTTTTAAAACAGTTAAAACATATACTGTTATATGGACTAAAGACCAATGATACTTATAAATATGGGTAAATGAGGGAAAACCCCAAATGACCAAGGTCTGAATCAGACCAGTAAGCCTTATTGGGTGCCTGCCCCATGTGCCAGGATCGCTGAAATCTCAGTGGCTCTCAATCTTGGGCGAGCATCAGAGCCACCTGGAGGGCAGATTGAACCCAAAAGCTCCAAAACCCAAAATCTCCAAAACCCAAAAGCTCCAAAATTCAAAAGCTCCAAAACCCAAAAGCTCCAAAACCCAGAAAGCTCCAAAACCCAAAAAGCTCCAAAACCCAAAAGCTCCAAAACCCAAAAGCTCCAAACCCAGAAAGCTCCAAAACCCAAAGCTCCAAAACCCAGAAAGCTCCAAAATCCAGAAAGCTCCAAAACCCAAAAGCTCCAAACCCAGGAAGCTCCAAAACCCAGAAAGCTCCAAACCCAGAAAGCTCCAAAACCCAGAAAGCTCCAAAACCCAAAAGCTCCAAAACCCAGAAAGCTCCAAAACCCAAAAGCTCCAAACCCAGAAAGCTCCAAAACCCAAAAGCTCCAAACCCAGAAAGCTCCAAAACCCAAAAGCTCCACCCTGGAGCTTTTGATTCAATATTTCTGGGGTGGGGTCCAGGTGTTTGCATATCTAACAAGTCCCAGACAATGCTGCTGCTGCTGGTTCAGGAACAAGACTCTGAGAACCTCTGCTGAGTTTTCCATACTCCATATTTCACAGGCAGTAAAATCACTTTGGGGATTCAAGCATTCGCTGTCAATCTAACAGGCCTCGTGATGGGCATGGCTGCTGAAAGCTATTTAGGTTCCTAAGATGATTAAGAACAGCAGCTTTGATCCCAAACTTCGATAGAGTGGCACGTTGACAAAATATTGAGGAGAGAACCATTCTGTTGGTGCCAGATTTGATGTAAGAAGAGACTCTGCCTGCTGGAATGCAAGTTATCCTTAAAAGAACAAAAGTCAAAATTCTGGTATTTTCTAGGTCTTGGTCACATGCAACAAACACCTCATGTGAATGAATATAATTTCTTCTGTCTCACTTGCTTTCCCTGCAAGTTTTATCCAAGGTCGACCTCACAGGGCAGATAATTTACAATTTCACAGATGAACACATTGTAGATACATCATAGTTATTTGACTAGCTGGGGACTATATTTACTTTCCTTTCATCTTCTTTTTCTAATTATACAAATAATGCATGCCCATTGTCAAGCTATTGAAAAATATAGAAAGATATGATCACTCATCATGCTATCACATATGGAACGTCACTGTCAATATTCTGACGTATTTTTTCCAGTTCTTTTATGCATAACAGATTTGGCATCATATTGTACCTGGAGCTTTCTGGAGTGTTTCTTTTCTGAGCACACAGCTGTGAGATAAACTAGACCTATTTGTAAACAGGAAAGCAAAAGCTCACTCTGGAGCATGCACAAAGAGCAGGAAGCCCTGTGAGTTTCTTTGTTCTCAACCTCCAGCCCCAAACCTGTTTCCACACATCCAATGCCATCCATTGAACAGATCCATTTGCTTAAATATTGATGTGTTTCATTTCTTAAATCAGAAACTGTAAATTAGGCACTTCCCTGGTGATCCAGTAGTTAAAGATCCGCCTTGCAAATGCAGGGGATTCGGGTTTGATCCCTGATCAGGGAACCATGATCAGGGAACCCACATGCCGCAGGCCAACTAAGGCCCATGTGCTTACAACTACTGAGTCCACGCGCTTCAGAACTTGTGCTCTTCAACAAAAAAAGCCAATGAGCTACAATAAAGACCGAGCACAGCAAAAACAAACAAACAAACAAATAAACCTGTAAATTAGTCTTTTTTTTTTAATCCTTATGTATATTTGTTTTTATTCACTTTTCTGTTTCTATATTTTTTTACAATGAAACCTTTATAATAAAGAGACATACAAATATATCTTTTGCAGTTGTTGGAAACAGAAGAATGCTGTATATCCCCTCTGAAAGTGTTTATATGAAATACATGAAGCATCACAGCATGTAAAATACAAGTCAAAATTACATACTGTAAGGTAATAGATTCCTTTTAAAAACTGCAGTGTACCATAATGCCCATAAAAGTGACCCATCATCAGAAAGAAATACTGTGAGAAATTTCAACTAGCCATATACACTATGCAAATATTCATAATAACTAAAATGTTTAGTCAAGTCTTAATGAAGTTTGACTATACATAAGATAAAATGTGAGCCAAGGAGCCAAGGTGTTCCACCCGCACAGGTACAGATAAGTCCCAATGGCAAGACACCACTGGCTCCTCTCCTAGCTAATGGTGGGACTCATCTCTCTCTCTCTCTTCAAAGCGAGAAGAGTTTAACAGAAGTGCTGGTTGGACCTAGATCACCAGAGCAGCATGATCTCCTGCGATGCTGGTCATGACCAATGCCACTGGTCATGACCACTTCCTGGCAGGGAAGCATCTGTTGCAGCAGATACCTTCTTGGGTACAAGTGGCCTCGTGGTGTGTGGTGCGAGTGACTGGCAGAATAAAGTGACTCTGAGGACCCCGCTGCTCTGCAGTCGCATGGAGCTGAAGTGTTGAGCATGAAAGCCCTCCCCCGCCCCCACCCTGCATCTGGTCCTCTCACCCCTCCCTCCCCTGCTCTCCACCACTAACGTACACCAAGTTCTGCTCGACTACATCACAGCAATAACAGCCAACACCCGGGACTTTGATGAATAAAGGGGAAAAATACAATAAAAATTCCACAAGTTATTATTTGCTACATAAGAGAGAGGTTCTGAACTGGCAGCCAAGAAATCTGTGAGCCTCACACCCAGAGGACTAAGTATCCAGGGAGGACAGAGACTCTGGGGCATGGCCCTCGTGTTAGTAGCCAATCAATTCCATCTTCACTGACACCAGTTTCCCGCAAAGAGCCAGGGGCTCAAAACTTTGGGGATGAGCACCAACTGATAAAGAGCCCTTTTTGCAGAATCTCATTTGATTTTCTTCTCCCCTTGGCCCTGCAGGCTAGAATGCCAGAAATGAGTGAGCCCTGGAGAGCAGACTTAATTTGCAAGGTGAGCCTAGGGCCTGGTGGGATCACTTAGAACACAGAGAACATCCATGGTCAGTTTTCCTCTAAGGTAGGGAGAAACCAAAACCTGAAAAAAATGAAAGGCCGTGACAGCAGTGTCAGGCCAGGAAGCTGAAGCCAAATTACAACCCCATTCCCCTTTGTGGTCGGCAGTCTCCGAGGTGGTCCTCAATGACCCCTCCTCTGGGTATTCACTGGGAGGAGTCCTCTCCCTCCACTGAATGCGGATGCCCTTTGTAACCAATAGGATCGAGTTATAGTTGAAGTACAATGTTGCGTCAATTTCTGCTATAGAGCAAAGTGACTCCCTTACACATATATATACATTCTTTTTCATATTCTTTTCTACTGTGGTTTATCATAGAGTATTGAATATAGTTCCCTGTGCTATACAGTAGGACCTTGTTGTTTATCCTTTCTCCACATACCAGTTTGCATCTGCTAATCCCAAACTTCCAACTCAACTCTCCCCCACCCTCCTTCCCCTTACAACAACCACTTTATTCTCTATGAAGGACTGTCTTAAAAGTCTTTTGTAAAACCCATAGTGACTGTTAGACTATGGGATAAGTAACAAGTTCTTACTAAGTACTTGTTGGTTTTATGCAAGATGATAGCAGATTAAGACTAGAGACACACTCCCAGCTGCAGTCCTTAACTAGACGAGAAAAGCACCTTTGGTTAAGGAAGAAAAGCACATCAAGGAGTCAAAGAAACCACCCTGTGTTGGAACGGTATTTTACATGTCTAAACCATAATTCAATTTAACTTGACAAATCATACTCAAATTTTTAAAATAATTATTGATGAGCCATTCCCCAAATTCCATAATCACAAAGTAACATTCGTATTTTAAAATTAAAGAATATAAAGAAATGACTTATAGCACATCAAAATAATTCGAAGGTCATTGTTACTTGGAATTTCTAAGACAGCGTGCAGATAGAAACAGAAGCAAATTGAGACGTATCAAATACAAATTTTGAGCTAAAACCATTCTGTCCTCTTGAGAGATGGGATCCAAACACACAAGGCAATCATATCATCCTCTCAGCAAGGACCTCCTGAACCAGGAATGGCAGTGAGCACAGGTAATACCAATATGTCCTTCCTAAGTGTCTCCAGGAAAAAGGTTTTTATGAACCAGAAGAGGGGAAATCTCATTTCTCCAAAATGCAAAACTATTTTTGAAATAGGGAATAAATAGGGAGATATTTCACTCTTCTAAGACTTAAATGAGTATAGTTTTGATACTTGTTTTCAGGGGACCTAGTATGATCTCAACTTAGTTGTCCAGTTCAAGGAATGTATGTCAGTCGCGCCCAGAAGAGAGCTTCACATGCTGAACAGAAGCCCCAAATTCACAGCCAAATGTTAGTCCCAAACCCATGTTTACTATCAAATCTAATCTTTAAACAAAGTCTTAACTCACCTGCCAGAATATGCTGTCTATTGTGTTTCCAAGAAAACCATCGCGACCTTCTGAAGACACCAGTTTGGGGCCAAGAATGGTCATGAATTCATCAAAATCCACCTGGCCGTCCCCTGGAAGGAGAAGAAATAAATATGAGTTGAAAAGTAGCTGAAATTGACCTACCCAATGTTTATTTCATTATTTCACTGGAAATATGAAATAAGCATCTCCATGAAATAAAATCATGGAATAACTTGAAATAATGAAATAAACATGAAATAAACATCTACATGCTTTTCTCCATGGCATGACCTTGATTAATGAAGAGCTGGAACCATTTCTGAAAATTGTGCAACATTCTTAAAATACTAGAAGACAACCAAGAAACTGGCAACAATTAGTACCTCCAATACCACCTATCCCTAATCATTTGTTAGTATTTATATCTAAATCCCAACCAACACCTCCCACAACCTCACAGGTGCTGTATTTCCTGGACCCCAAGTTGCCTAGCTATACAGGAGAGAAATCACACCTTCATCCCAATCTCTTCCTTCATACTGGTCAATCACACATAAATTTAGTCATCAACTCTTACTGATTTCATTTCTTAAATAGCTGTAGCTGCTTTACCTTCTTCATTAATTCAGTTGCTAATTCAGTTCCAAAAACACTGTGGTAGGAAAATGCTTCCAAGAATGTTCTAATAATAATTACAGTGTTACTAGTAAAATGACTTCAGTCCTCATATTCTCACCTCCACACTCTCTTCCACACAGTTGAGTTTACTTCTCCCAAAGCATATCTGATCCTGCTTTATAAACTTCAATGGCATCTCTGACCAAAAATAAGGAAGCCACCTCAGAACCCACCCACCTCAAGTCCCACTATGCCCTTTGACACCTTTTGCTCCCTACCTCAGCACAAGACGCCATGCTATTTCAGAGCTCCAGACCTCTGTACACACTGTTCCCTCCATTTGTCTGCTGGGTGATCTCTAACTTGTTTCATAAGATGGAGCTGAAATATCATGTTCTCTTTTGGTATTTTTCCTGACCCTTTCTCATCTCACTAGACAGAGCTGGGAAAACTTCTGTCTCTCCTACTAACTTAACGTGCACCTGTTTAGAACTGATCACCCTCTATCTCAGCCACTAATGTGCATGCCTGTCTCCCACCTAGATTGTGAGCTCTGTAAGGCCAGGGACCCAGTCTGAAATGTCTCTATATTTGATACCATGGTAGGCACTCAATATGCCCTTAGAGAATGAATGATGTCTCTTGCTTGTATTTTCTTTGCTCAGTTCAACATGTGTTGGAACTTTCATGCTAGAGCTGACACTGGCCAGTTGGTGAACTTGGGCCAACTTAGACAAAAGTGGACCTTCAGGGTATTGCCTGAGCCCCCATGATTGATCAATGCGGCATTCTGCACCCTTAGGACTGCTTGGGAGGGTGTCTCCACCAACAGTCACCACACCTCGGCCCCAGGTGACAAAGACAGCCCAGGTGGCTGCATACAAACTTGCCAAAGTGCAGACACGTCAATCCACTCCCCGAGTGCAATAGCCTTCCATGAGCCTTTGCTGAAAACCTGCTTCCAAAATTCAGGCAGATGTCATCATCAAGATGTCAATAATTCAGAAAAAGACAGTCCAGGAACAGATCCCAGCGTAGATTAAACTTCGAAGAGGATAGGAGAGGCATGACAAGTCAGTGGGAAAGGGAAGACTGAGCCACCAAATAGGGCGGGGCAGTCCAAGGACTACTGAGAAAGGGATGTACCTCTTACCGTTCAACAAGATGAAAGGATCTAAAACTTCACCCTGGCTGGTCATCATCAGTCAACAATAAGTTAGCATCTTGCCTTTCAAACTAGCAAATACTTCTAAAAAGAGTATTGTTCGATGCTGGCAGAGATGTGGAGAAGACATGAGCTCTCTTCTGCATCCCTGGTGTGCTCACCCTGAATACTGACTAGCAGGATTCAAGATGCTGCATCCTGCTGGTTCCTTTTCACTTGATAACTTCACTTTTAAAGAAAAAGACAAAGCGAGGAAACTACCTTAAATGCAGTCCAGGATGTTTACCCAAAGATGAATCATCCAGTATTTGTGAAAGTAGAAAGCTGGATGAAGCTGAGAATGGCCCAGTCTTGCTGGTATTCACACTGAGTGAGCACCACATGGCTCCCAGTCTAGGACAGTCACACTTGCTATATTCATGCACTAACCCGCTGCTCACCCCAAGTTGCTCCTGCTAGTCAAAGCTGGCACTGGGGACTTCCCTGGTGGTCCAGAGGTTAAGAATCAGCCTGCCAGTGCAGGGGACATGGGACCCTTGCTCTGGGGACTAACATTCTATAAGCCACAGGGCAGCTAAGCCCCTGAGCCAACTACTGAAGCCCAAGTGTCCTAGAGTCCATGCTCTGCAACAAGAGAAGCCACCATAATGAGAAGCCCGCATGCTGCAACTAGAGAGTAGCTTCTGCTCACCACAACTAGAGAAAGCCTCCATGTATCAGTGAAGAGCCTGTGTGCTGCAATGAAGACCCAGTGCAGCCATAAAAAAATAAACAAAAAGCTGGTGCTGGATGGCCAAAAAGTCTCAGACCAGAAGATGCATTCTCAAGAGAGAAAGTGTCACCTTCAGTGAGATGAAAAGTGATTCTTAAGGGACAAAAAATACCTTAGGCATTACAATGGTTAGTGGCCCTCCTAAGGTCGCAGTATGTAAAGAGACATATGCGCACTATATCTGTGCTTTTAAAATGTCATGGGGTTGGTCTTCTAAAAAGAGTATTGTTCGATGCTGGCAGAGATGTGGAGAAGACATGAGCTCTCTTCTGCATCCCTGGTGTGCTCACCCTGAATACTGACTAGCAGGATTCAAGATGCTGTGTCCTGCTGGTTCCTTTTCACTTGATAACTTCACTTTTAAAGAAAAAGACAAAGCGAGGAAACTACCTTAAATGCAGTCCAGGATGTTTACCCAAAGATGAATCATCCAGTATTTGTGAAAGTAGAAAGCTGGATGAAGCTGAGAATGGCCCAGTCTTGCTGGTATTCACACTGAGTGAGCACCACATGGCTCCCAGTCTAGGACAGTCACACTTGCTATATTCATGCACTAACCCGCTGCTCACCCCAAGTTGCTCCTGCTAGTCAAAGCTGGCACTGGGGACTTCCCTGGTGGTCCAGAGGTTAAGAATCAGCCTGCCAGTGCAGGGGACATGGGATCCTTGCTCTGGGGACTAACATGCTATAAGCCACGGGGCAGCTAAGCCCCTGAGCCAACTACTGAAGCCCAAGTGTCCTAGAGTCCATGCTCTGCAACAAGAGAAGCCACCATAATGAGAAGCCTGCATGCTGCAACTAGAGAGTAGCTTCTGCTCACCACAACTAGAGAAAGCCTCCATGTATCAGTGAAGAGCCTGTGTGCTGCAATGAAGACCCAGTGCAGCCATAAAAAAATAAACAAAAAGCTGGTGCTGGATGGCCAAAAAGTCTCAGACCAGAAGATGCATTCTCAAGAGAGAAAGTGTCACCTTCAGTGAGATGAAAAGTGATTCTTAGGGGACAAAAAATACCTTAGGCATTACAATGGTTAGTGGCCCTCCTAAGGTCGCAGTATGTAAAGAGACATATGCGCACTATATCTGTGCTTTTAAAATGTCATGGGGTTGGAGCAAGTAGAGAAACAAGTGTCTTAAAAGGCACCTGAGCAGGTGAGTGGCAGTACAAGAAGGAGGAGCAGGACAAGAGGAAGAAGAAGAGAAGGAAGAGGAAGTAGTTTGAGAAACACTAGATTAGATAGTGTCTCAAGTACTGTAAGTCCTCTCCATGCCAATCGTCAAGTTGTGAACATTCAAAGATGCAAACGTGCATCTGGTTCCAGCAAGGAACCAGAATCTTTGCCATCAACGTCAGGCGAGAGTGAAACGCAGCTTGCCCTCCATCTCCTGTTGCTGACAGTCCTTCAGTCCCACCATCTCCCACCTCCTCTCCCTCCTCCAGCTGGTAACCCTGGATGCCAGCCCCTGGATGCCAGCCCCTGGACCCCAGCTGTTGTGCTGTACTAGTGTAAGATGAGAAATGTTTCCTTTATTTTTTGTGTTTGTTTTTTATGTATTAGTTGTGTGGAAAGTATTATAAACTTATTACGGTACAGTATGATATAGCTGATTGTGTTAGTTGGGTACCTATGAACAAATTAGACTTAAGAACAAATTGGACTTACTAATGAAACCTGTTCATATGCAGAGGACTTATTGTACTATGGTTCTCCTTCTGGGACCTCCTTCTGGGACCTCCTTCTGAGGTGCTGGTCTAGTAACAGTGGGCATCGTCCCAACTGTCTGTCACCCGGGGCAACGTCCAACAGTTCATAAAGGTTTAGAAGCTCGAGGGTGTGGATAATTTTTTTATAAAGAACTCATGAGACCCTATCTAAAATACATCCACTGGGCTGGGTCATACAAGCTCCTGGCCAGGTTATAGTAGGCACTACTTTCACTTGGGAGTGGAATAGAATGGGGATGGGGGGGTCCGGAGCATGTGCAATATATATATTTCTCAGTATATTAGGCACCTGAGCACCAGGAGGATGAGGCTGTTTTTAAACGATCTATCTTTCAGGTAAGGGGAGAGTGATCACCCACCTCTCTGAAACTTGCCCCCAACCCAGGTGTTGGGAGAGCAGCATGTGGAACTGGGGTCCACATGGAACCCTAGTCAAAGTCATCAGGGAACACTCACAGATGGTGCCCTTGGCTGAGAACATCAGCCTCAAAGTTGACAAGTGGAAGAGACGCTTCCAACCACATCCTGACCTCAGCGAAGGGAGCAGCTTTTTTTGCTACTGAAACCCTTGACTGCAAGGGAAGTGCTTGGGTCACGGTGGGCAACCCCAGGGGGGTGCTAGCTATAGCGCAGGGGCACAAGGGACTTGGCAGAGCCTTTCTGCTAGTTGGAGGAGAGGTCTGGTTCATGGAAGGATTTGTTTCGAGCTATTAAGCAGAAGACATTTGGAACCTCAGATTTTTTTATTGGTCAAAATGTGATTCCCCACTGCCTTCCTCCATTTTCTCCCCCCACTATCAATGAGCCAAGGGAGATTCCTGTAGGCCCAT